ATACACTAAACATTAAACAAAAACTATTTCAGCAAGTATTTACAAAAAACTATTTACGTAAACAGCGTTAAAAACTTTGAACAATCAATCGCCTACAACGTGCTATATATATAAAACAGTACTACATATAAAATGTGCATATATATTGAAGGTTTGTAGCCCCTGGTTAATCAAAACGACAGGAAGCTAATTATCCGTTTTTCACAATCGATTTTGGCACATATTATAGCCCCGACTGCGAATTCGTCTCGGACCGTCTCGTGATTGAAGGTAATTATATTAACGCAGGTGGCAAGAGTGACAGAGGTCTGGTATAGGGCATGCCCATTAGACTGATGGGAGTAAGGACATATTACATGTACAGGGTAATTGAAATTACATCGCAATTGCGTTATGGTTTTTTCATTAAAATGAAATGCAAGCGGCCTATTAAATCGCTACTGACACAATATGACTAAACTAAACGTCACGTCGTAACGACGTAAAACATGATTCATACCAGAGTATCGCACTAAAACCGTGAAATTGTGATGAACTACAACCATGACGACGATAATAAAGCTTGTAGCAGTGTAGTTTGTTGCGAAGATAGACTGCTCCATGTCATTTCACAGATTTAGTAAAACGCTTGACAACGCTCTGACGTTGCGTAATTTCGCTGTAACGCATCTTGTGGCCTTTCCAAAGACAAGTATGTAGTAGTAATAGACCGTACATCAGCAACAAAAATGTCTGTAACTTTTGGCCTATAGGATATATCTCCAATTTCTGTCATATTCGTTTCATAAATTTAAAAAATAATTTTAAATAAAATATGCCCGGTTGTGCATTAAGGTATAGTAAGTCACGATATGGAGCAAAAAATGAACATCATGTCGGTTTATTATCCTAAGAATAATGTATATTTACCAAATAATCTTTAAATTTTATCATTTGTGGTAGATTGTTCTAGAAGAAAGAAAAATTATTGTAATAAGTGCCCTCTGTTATCCAGTAACGTCACTATTTAATTACAAATATGTTAGTAATTGACAACGTGCCTAAAACCGGTTTTTACCTTATCTTTAGAAGCGTTACCTAATGAGAAATAGCTAAAATGTTTTCCAAATAAATATTCAGCGTAATATTGCTATTTTTAGCTAGAGGGCTTAACACACGCGCGTGCTCACAGTTTTTGTATGGAAATGTTTCCAATGTCCGCTCTATAGGCTTTTCTCTTTACCACAAATAAAGGTAGACAGAACACTACGTATATTACAAGTGACGCCGAAAACGAGCTCAAATTCTTTACACATCGTTCTTCAGTCCAAAAAGTTCACGGCTTGGCCTTACACTTAAGGTGATACCTCGTAAATTTGGTGGTTTTTCTATTTAACATTTTTTTTTAATTTTTATAGATTACAAACTAAAATTTTGTTATATGATTTTTGACTATATGACCTTGGTTTGCATAAAAGGAAAACACGATATCATGTAATTTTCTCAATAGAAAAAAATTTCAAAGTAGGCTCTAATTATTTACATTTCTTGATGACACCACAATATTTTTACGAATAATTTCATGGAATTATTTTTAAAGCATAGTAAATAATCATATCTAAGTTCTCATAAACCAGTTTTTTAATCCATAACGAAGTTTTGTTAAAATAAATAAAAATGTTGTTTGGCGCTTACTTCGTTTTTTACCAAGCACCTGCTCGGTATGGCTATCTCATAAATTTTAAATTTTCAAAATTTCAAAATCTTTATTTCACAACACAATGGTTTGTAACTGTAAACAGAGGTTGGGACCATCCTATTAAGTAATAATAATACTTGTGCCAGGTGGCCCCGCTCTTCCTTACTTTACTAAATATCTTTAAATGTGTTTGTGAAGACAATTTGGAAAAACACTTATAAAAATAATTAATGTTAACATTAGTTTAGAGTGAAAAACAAGGCAAAACAACAATCAATACTTTCAATTTACATATTACCTGAAATAGATTAATTCTGAATTTCAATAAAAAAGCATGAGAGCGTGTTCGCACGCGCGCATGTGTGTGTGTGTGTGTGTGTGTTTGTGTAAAAATATATGTGTATTGTGTGAGTATGAATGTGTAACTTCGTATAAATTGTCACAGTTCTCGTTCACCAAAACCTATTTCAACATATCAACATAATAAATATAAAATTAAATCAATTAGCATATTGCAATAAACAATCTGTGTCGTTATATGTTTTAGTATATAAATACTTTGTAACTATTTGTTTACATTTGTATGTGTTCAAGTGATATAAATCCAAATCTTTGTTCAGCCTATTGTAGAGATGAGCAGATTGCGATAAGAACTGACGCTGAGCAAATTTGGTTTTTACGTATCTAGTTACTGCTACCCTATCTTTTCTTCTTCTCATCATTATTTCAGAGTTAAAAGGCAAAGATTTGTGTGTCCGTAAACTATTGATAGAATATATATCTGTCTTATTGAAAGAAGCTCACACAACTTGTAAAGTTCTTCAGTTGGAAAACGAAATGGTTTAAAATACATAACTTTGAGTAAACAACGCTGACTTCTTTCGATTTCTAATAATTTTGTTTTAGCTGCACCTCCCCAGACTGAGATACAGTACCCTATTATGGATTGTGCTAATGCAATATATATTTGATTTAGTAATTTTTTAGAGGTGACATGTCTTAGTTTCCTAAATATCCAAATTAATTTCCGTATCCTATTACTCGTATATTCAACTTGAGAGTGCCAGTTCAAGTGTTGGTCTAGAACAACTCCCAAATACTTTATAGATGCAACCTTATCGATAAATGTACATTTACAGTTAGAACTATTAGAAATACCACAATAATGTATTTTTAAACTATTGTTATTATTTGGTTGCGTTCTATTACTAATCGTAAAGCATACATATTTAGTTTTTGCAATATTTAAGGAAAGAAGGTTACTCTGGAGCCATTTTGAAATTATTAATAGACCAGATTCAGCATTTCTAAATACCGAGTTCCAATTATTTCCCGTAAAAACGATTGCGGCGTCATCGGCATAAGAAAATACTCGACCGTCGACTAAATTTAGGTTAGTTAATGTATTAATATAAATAAGGAACAGTGTAGGATCATAATTTGCGTACTATGAAGTCAGTGCATCACTTTCATTTTGACACTCCCGCAGTCGTCCGTTAGCTTCACCGAAAAAGGAATAAGCCACGCCCCCAAAACTTCGATTCATTTTCAAGGTGTCCTCTTAAGTATCTAGAACTAAGACTTTGGTTGCAAATGATTTAGATGCATATGTATCACTAGACGGACTTGTCCACGGGCATTTCTGCAGACATGCCTGTCGGATTTCGCTACTATAGGTCTATGCAAAAATAGTGTAGCACCGTCGCAGTCGGTCTGGCAGATTTGCCTGCTGAACGTCCGCGCAATCTCATTTGTCTGCGCGGCCACATACATGCTTGAACGTGAATATCAACTGCGGGTTGTCTGTACACAGAAAAGAGCGACAGTAACCAGTGCAGACGATCTTTTATTATTGTTTAACAAACTTTGGGAGATTTTCAATTTGCAATTAGTTTTAATGATAATAAAATATTTTGAGAAGAGTTTATAAGACTCTATTTCCATGCGCAAGTAGTTGTACAGGTCTCCTGGTTCATCAATTTCTAATTATTTATGTAAATTGATATGGCTAAACTTATTTCTATTTTTATACCATTTATACATCTTTTCACCAAATCAATAATAAGTAAATAATACACATTGCAAGTCTAGGTTGTCATCTAGACTTCCAATTAAGGTTGTCATCTTAATGTGCACGCACTACTAATCAGTAATCACGTAGCCGGTCTAAAACAGACTGATGAGTCTGTATAGTATATTGCGGCGACAGAGATGCCCGGATAAACAGCCCGTGGGCATATCCGTCACTAGACGGATTGGGCGCACTAGAATTCCCCGCGTTACAATAAGTTGAACATGGTTTCGGTTTTTCTGTGTAATTTGAAATGTACCTATGTAAGTAGTTGTTGATATAACACTGATAGTATAGTAGTATATATAGATTTTTTTATAGCTGGTAGTAAACATTTACAGAGGTCCAAGTATGCAGCTGGTTGTCGTGAGTTTTGAGATATCTGCAAAACAAAGTGATCTTTATAGATGAATATTACGGTAGTTTAGATTCTTAAACAATTTTGCTTCCATTAAAATAACCCAAAATATTTGTTAGTTTTTAGTAAGCTCAGGTGAAGAACTATGGTTCATAAAAGATAGCTTGATCTCTGCGACAGCTGTCAGTAAAAATCACGCCTATGAAGTCCTGAATTTCTTAGTAGTACAGACAGTACCTGTCAATGTCATACTTTATGGGCATGCACTAATTAGGTCGGTCAGCTGTTGCAGAGATAAAGCTATATTTTGTGAACTATAATTTAAAATTTTTGCAGTAAACCGAAGTACTGTGTTAGGCTGCAAAAGTATCTGAATTAGTATAATATTATTTTTTATGAATGTTCTATTTAGCTACAAGAATGAGGCCGTTTACTTTCAAATGCATATACATATTTTTAATAAAAAACAGTTATGGCTTTACTTTTAATATTATTAAAAATTACGTAGACATAATATTTTGTGGTTACATAGAATAATTCCGTATAAACAATGTGAATAATGCTTGTACCAGCAGTTCAGTGTCTGTGATCGCTGATAAAACATTTTCCTTCAAACAATATCAGCAGCTTGTAATGACAAAATTGCCGACATAACGCAGATCTACTAAATCCATACTCTTAGAAAACAAAATATAACCGGATATAATCGGGCTCAATAAAAAGGGGTAATTTATAAAATAGTTTCATTTTCACATGATAATGTAAAGAATTTGAGTTCTTTGTGAGACTGTTATAATAAATAATATTTTATGTATTTCTGCTGTAAATCAAGACATCCACAATTTAAATGGTCATGTGAAAGGAAAATGTTCACTATGTTATGAGGTAATTCATCACAAGGGCACAGGATCGAAGCGTGGAGTGAGGCTGGTACTGGAGCCGGGTGCTTCTCCACTCTGTGGACCAGTTTCGCGACCCACATTCTGTAACACACAAAAATATATTTTTTAAAAACAATTTAAATTTTTGTTTTGTATTGTGGAGTCAGTTTACATTGCACAAAGACAAACATCCAAACCCTGAATAATTATTTGTAGGCCATACAAATACATATTGTGAGTCATCGATACAATCCATTTAGTTCCTAAGTATTATATGAGTTATACATTTAATATAACATATAGCTATAATGATATAGCTATTATAGATATATCTAATTAAGCTATTACTAATTTTGTGGTAGTTCAGATTGTTAGCACTTGCTGTAAATTTCACAGTATGCGAGCAACCCGTGTTCCTTCCTTCTTCCTCATCTCCAATGGCACTAATGAAATTATTAATTGCAATTTTAAATGCTGATTTACTATTGTTCGTTCAAACCTGTATGTCTGAGAGAACAAGAATAAAAAGAAAAATTTCGAAAACATGTGAAGTTTGCCAACATGCATTGGGGCAGCGTGGCAGATACTTCCTTGCCCAAAGACCCTCTCAGAAAAGAGGGGAGGCCTGTGCCCAGCAATGGGCCGTATACAGGCTGTAACTTTAACTTTTAATGTATATTTATAAAAATAATAAATTTATTAAAAAATACTATAGATTATGTTAGGGGCCAACATAGTGTTGATTTTTGTGTCCGGTCTGTTGTGATATACCATGTGGTTAAGACCAAACAGAATTTGGTCAGTATTGGAAAGGCCATAACTTCACATTCCATAGACCGCAGTTTATATAGCAGAGTTAAGGAGCAATTTTTCTATCGCACTTCGATATGTTGGCAGACATCATGTTTTGGAAACCTTTTTCAGACATGCAGGTTTCCACACAATGTTTTCCTTAACACTGAGCAAAAGGTAAATCATCACTTAAAATAACAATTTACAATTTGGTTCATACAGTCAGGAAAACTGGAGTGAGAGCTAAGTTTTGTAATCTCATATAAGTCAGATGTAAAATACCTATCTTGGCACCTGGAAGCAGTGTCAAAGATTAATCTGATACCTGATACTGTGACAACCTTTCTTACAATACATGGTTTATGTCCAATTGTAGGTTGCTCATTCATACGGCTCCAAGTATAGTGGTGTTAGAATTAGTAGTGACGATGGTAGTAAACACAATTAAAGGGGGGGGGGGTTTGGAAGCAGTTTTTAAACTAGGTAAGACACATACTTTTTATTATTTTGCTTATTCATTTTAATATGTATTGTATATTTTGGTGGTGTGTTCAGTAAATTTAAAGTTAATAAATTGGATATCAGATTTTGTAACAGTATTCATTGTCTGAGGAAGTCAAAATGCTGTACAAATAGTCCAAATTGGATTCGAAATGAAAATAAAATGAAAATACAATGGGGATAGCATTATATTAGTTTCATAAAACCCTCTTTAAGGATAAACAAAAACATATTAAAATAATGGATTTTCACAAAGTAATGCCCAACTGTAATTCCTGATGTCAGGTGTACTAGGCCTAGTATAATAAGCATATTTTAGCAGACTTCATTTAGATCTCAACAAACTTTAGCAGCAAAATGAGCATGTACAAAATTAACCTTGCCTCAGCATTGGTTGTAGATTTTTAAAGCTATATGTAGCTGGCCTTGCCATATTGATGATAAACTTTCAGACAAGAGAGGTAGAGTTGGTCATGGATGAATGTGTAGGATCTGGAACTTTCTTGAAGACCTTATATCACATATGTGCGTATCAGTCTTTCAGGCGGAATGTATGGGTCTCATCCAAGCGGCCATAACACTAGATACTGGGAAGGTAAAAGAATTCACCATCAGAATACTGACCGACAGTATGGCAGTACTACAAGCTCTGAGTTGTAATGTGGTGAACTCGGGATTAATATATGAATTCCATCAACAATTAAATGAGGTATGCAAGCACAACAATGTGACTGCAATGGATCAAGGGACACAGTGGATCCAGGGGCAATAATGCAGCACATGAACTGGCCAGAAGGGGATTGGCTCTGGCCACTATAGGGCCGGAACAACTAATACTAATCCCCTTTGGTTATGTTCGTTCACTGGTATGTAGAAACTTCAATAATCTACACGCTCAGCTTTGGAAAAATCTAGTAGACTTTAGACAAGCTAGGGAGGCCCTGCCTGAAATAAACAATTGTCTAACCAAGGTTAAGGCTAATGAGACTGAACAAGCTACAGATCAGGATAGTAACAAGTGTTATCACAGGACATTGCTCCTTTAACAAACATTTATTAACATAGGTGTTACTGACAGCCCCCTGTGCAGGGCATGCATGGGAGAGGAAGAAACAGCGGCTCACGTGTTGCTGACATGTCTGGAGGTCACTTCATACAGGGATAAACATCTCGGCACACCAGGATCGCTCCCCGAAGTTACTTGGAACATCAAAGGACTGTTGAACTCCTTCGGGGAGATATCATGGCTTGAATAATCACATTATTCCTGCCCACATGCAAAATTTGCGCTTAGAAATGGAGTTGCAGAAAACAGCCGTGGTAGTCGTAAACTAAGCGAAACTTTCGACAGTTACCCTTGTTCAAAGAGAATTTAAAATTCAGATTTTATTATAATATGACTCACCTTCACATGAATCTGGTTCTTAAGCATAGCAGCTCGTAGAATCAACATGGATGTTCGTCGTTGGTACTCTTTTCCCATGGCAAGGCTTCTTTCAAAAGTGGTACTTCTCTGATCTACATCTTTAGCATATAATATTTTGTTATGTGAATCAATACGAGCTTGGATTTGTCCATCAAGTATTAATTGCATCAATTCATCTTCCAGAGCATTAACAGTGCGATTAAAAGCAGCAGCCATAAGACGCATATCAGCTGATAAATAGGGGCTGAAGTATTGAATTAATGCTCTGTTGCGTATTTGCATATAAAGTGAATTTAAATGGGGTGCTAAATACATATCTAAGAGGAGGTTATCCTTAATCTCGTCAAGTAGCCTTAAGCATGAAGCATATTTAGATTCATAAAATTTAAAAATTATGTCACGTAACTGAGGCTCTAGTTCTAGAAATAATTTAAAAGAACTGCTAACTATGACTTGCTTCTGTAATTCAGAGCGGTCAAATGTGGCTAGTGCACATAGTCCACCATACACTGCAACATTGTTACTGCTCAGCAGTTCTGGATAGTCACAGTGGTCGATGCTTGCTGCAAGGAAGTGTTTAGCAGCAGATTTATATTTTTTAGTTGCTAATTCTGCTAAGCCCGCTGCACATTTTAAACGGGTTAAAATAGACTGATTAGACTCTTTCCCTGGAACTTCATTAAAATCCGGTGTGCCTATTGCTTTTGATACATAATTAAGAACATGAGCCCAGTTGTGCAAGTATACTGACACTTTAACTACATTGAGGCACATCATAATAATGTGTTTGCCACTTGTACAATAATCTCTGGCTCTTGAATAACATTTAAGTGCACTGGTAAGATCTCCACAGTCTAAGTAATGATCTCCAAGATCATCATGTCCTCTCCTGATACTTTCCTTAATAGAATTTGTTTTGTAATTTTTAAGGTCAGTGTCCAATTTCTCCAACTTTATAGCAGCTTTTTTGGTTTTTGATTCTACCCACATAGTATCTAATACAGGTATATCTTGTGAGCCCATCTGAACGGCAACGTCTGGTAAGCCAGCTGATGCAATGGCCTCGGAGAGCTTTTTGTGTAGAGTTTGGTAAAGACTTACATTGTATGTGGTCATAACATATGATATAGCCATTTTCAAAGCCTCTAATCTAAGTGATGGGCAATGATCTGCTACAAACATTAATCTGTACAACTTTGCAAAGCCGGTATAAGATGCAGCATATGTTTCTAGATCCAAGGTTGGATTCTCAACTACATAACATTCTGTCTCATTGTTTTCGTTGTCTTCCAATGGAACATCCACTTGCATCGGTTCTGCAGCATTCTGCAAATTGAGAACAACAGCATTACTATCACTTTGACTAGTTTAGGTTTTCAATTATCAGAAATTCACATTAAATCATATTTATTTAATACTTCACAATAATTGACTTACCATTTCGAACATTTTACTTGACTATGATTAACTTATAAAAGAAAATACACGAAATCCACTGTCAACGCAGGAAACCAACCTAGAACAACGTATTAATTGTAACTGCTTTATGTTTTAAATTTATCAAAACAGATGGTTACCAATATATACTTAATCACATATTTCTAACTCAGTAGAGAGACGTTGTCGAAAATAGTTATTATCAAAATACCTTTATCATTACGTTTCTTTTTTGCAGCGGCATTTTTCTTTTTTGACGAGAAATTTAATGTTGCCACATGTTAGTTTTACGTTTGCAAAAAAGTACACTGATTACTACGAAATACGTAATTTATTTATGTAATCTATAAAGATTACTAGTATTTTAGCCCAAAAGAAATTTTGTAAAAGTTGTAATATTTTAAATAAATGTTTGTAAAAATTGCGATAAGTTTACTATTGTTGATTACTATTGTTTATTATTAAAATTCTCCACCAAATTTAAATTAAATGAGACGAGAAAAAAACATCAACACTTTGACACTCATTTATAAATAAAGATCAAAGATATAATTATTATCTAAGTGACATCTACATTATATTATATACTATCATATCTGTGATAGGTATCCATCATTAGGGATGGTCCGGGACGCAAGCGCAACCACAAACTAAATGGAGACCCCTTTTGCTGGAAACGAGGCATTCTATCATTTCTCAGAAATGACAATGCATTTGCACTTTGATTCTTAATCGATGATGAATATAGATGTCTATGGACCACAGGATCCACTTACCATGAAGTAGGTTGCGTAATCGTTTGCCATCCTTATAAAAAGAATAATAATCATAGCATTAGAAATATAGCTCGCGGCCTGAAAGGCTGCGCAAAAAAAGTATTTGCTCCAAATCAAGAAAATGTTGATGACCCACTTCCGTTGCAATTTCACATAAATACGAGAAATATTTATAAATTACTTTAACGGCTCAGGGGCTATAGAGTGGCAACAAAAATATGCGACTATGAATTATTATAACTTTATATACTATTAGATGTATCTAGCTAATTAAGTATACTATACTGTAATGGGAAAATCAAATAATTATTTAGGTATTTTCAACTTTAAGCGAGACAGGTTTTATTAAAAAAAACACAAATTCTGTCTTGACTGGGTTTGCCTGCATTCCTTACTTATTGTATTGTAAATAGGGCCATGACTACGCACAAAATTTATAAAAAATTCTTAGTTATCGCTGCTACAGGTGGATTTAACAGTGGTAGAGCCACGCGGCAGCTTTGCTGTCGCACGTATGGGCCGGCTCAAACCGGGGTGGTACCACGACCTCACAGAATACCGGCGTGAAGTGGAAGCTCTGCTTCCGCGTTTCGTCTGGTGAGTGCAGGTGGCCGGAGGCCCAAATCCTCCCCCCATCAACATGGTAGCGGAATTCAATGATAGACTACCCCAGGAGGGTACCAGCACCCCTGGAGAATCCCTCGCTGAGCATCCACGACCATGTTTTTCCACTTCTGAGCGTGGGTGCTCAGGCTGCCCCGCGTATTCTGGGGGGGGGGGCAAAATTCCGCTCAAGACTAAAACTGCTCGGGGCAAACGGAGCAACAAGACCAAGGCGACCCCTGCCACGCTGTCCGTGAATTTCTGCAATATCAGGGGACTTCACTCCAACCTAAACGCCGTCCACTACCATCTCGAGACGGCGAGGCCGGCTCTGCTCTTTCTGACCGAGACGCAGGTGTCCTCTCCGGCTGATGTCTCGTATCTCTCCTACCCGGGGTACAAACTGGAACACTCCTTTGTGCCTCGGGCTGGAGTTTGCGTTTACGTCAGAGAGGACATCTGTTCTCGACGCCTCGGCAGACTTGAAGGTTCGGACCTGTCCATCCTTTGGCTACGCGTAGACAGCGACGACCATCCGCGCATCTACGGGTGCCTCTATAGGTCCCACAGCGGTAATGCCGAAACAGACCGACTCTTCGACCACGTCCAAATGGCTGCAGATTCGTTGCTACAGCAGATCCCCTCCGCAGAGATCGTGATCCTCGGCGACTTTAACGCCCATCACGCCGAATGGCTCGGTTCACGTTTAACCGATCATGCGGGGAGATCTGTTCATGATTTTGCCTTGTCATATGGTCTGACACAACTGGTTACTTCGCCTACGCGGATTCCAGATGTGGAGGATCATGCACCTTCCCTGTTGGACCTTCTGCTGACCTCTCACCCGGACGGATATCAGATTTCCGTCGACGCCCCTTTAGGCTCCTCGGACCGTTGTCTTGTCCGGAGTGTGGTGCCACTCACGCTGAAATCGCGGTTGCATTCTGCAGGCTGCCGCCGTGTTTGGCACTATAGGTCAGTCGATTGGGATGGGATGCGGTCTTTCTTTGCATCCTACCCTTGGGGGCGGGTTTGCTTCTCGCCGGACGATCCCAACGTTGTTGCGGATTCTGTCGCTGATGTGGTACTTCAGGGTATGGAACTTTTTATTCCTTCCTCTGTGGTGCCCATTGGAGGCAAATCTCAGCCATGGTTTGGTCGCTCCTGTAAAATAGCATCATGCTATAAGCAGGAGTGCTACCAGGCCTGGGCTGATGCATCAGCGTCCAGGGATGTAAACACCAGCGCTCTAAAAAAGAAGTATAATTCCGCCTCTAGGTCCTTCAAAAGAGTCATTGCCAAGGCAAAGTCAGAGCACATAGGCAGAATTGGCGAGAAACTAGTTCGTCTTCCTTCTGGAACCCGTACATTCTGGTCTCTCGCCAAGGCTGTCCAGGGGAATTTCTGTCAGCCATCTCTTCCATCTCTGCACAGGGAGGACGACTCACTGGCCCACACCGCAAAGGAGAAAGCCGATCTTCTAGGCTCTTTCTTTGCGTCTAACTCGACTCTCGATGACGGGGGGAGTACGCCGCCGACCATCCCGCGGTGTGAGTGCTCTATGCCGGAAGTGCAGTTCACTCAGCGCTCGGTTCGCAAAGCACTCCTCTCCCTGGACATCCACAAGTCGAGTGGGCCTGACGGAATCCCCCCAATTGTGCTGAGGACGTGTGCTCCAGAGTTGGCACCGGTTTTAACGCGTTTTTTCCGGTACTCCTACTCCCTAGGCGTAGTCCCAAAATCATGGAAGACGGCTTTCGTCCACCCGATCCCTAAAAAAGGCGACCGCTCAGACCCGTCCAACTACCGGCCTATCGCCATCACCTCCTTGTTCTCCAAAACAATGGAGTCCATTGTAAACTGCCAGCTCATGAGGTACCTTGAGGATCACCAGCTGATTAGTGACCGCCAATACGGTTTTCGCCGTGGTAGGTCAGCTGGTGATCTTCTGGTCTACCTAACTCACAGATGGGCGGAGGCAGTAGAGTCCAAGGGGGAGGCATTGGCCGTTAGTTTGGACATTGCGAAGGCCTTCGATCGGGTTTGGCACAAAGCGTTTCTTTCGAAGCTCCCTTCCTATGGGCTTCCCGAGAAATTGTGCGATTGGATCACCAGTTTTCTTGCAGATCGGAGCATCAAGGTCGTTGTAGACGGTGCAAGCTCCGATTGCAAGCCTATTAATGCTGGTGTTCCACAGGGCTGCGTGCTATCGCCAACGCTGTTTCTTCTGCATATCAATGATATGTTGCAGACCCGTAACATTCATTGCTATGCAGATGACAGCACTGGTGATGCTCTTTACACCGGCCGAGCCAATATTTCTCGGGAAAATGTCTCCGAGTGCCGGGACAAACTTGTGTCTGAAGTCAAGTCTCTGCTGGACAGAGTCTCGGATTGGGGGCGACTAAATCTAGTCCAGTTTAACCCCAGAAGACACAAGTTTGCGCGTTAACCGCTAAAAAGAACCCCTTTGTCGTATCCCCTCAGTTTCAAGGCACTCCCCTTGTTGCCTCAGCCAGTATCGGAATCCTCGGCGTCGACATATCGAGTGACGTGCAGTTTCGTGGTCACTTGGAAGGGAAGGCCAAATTGGCCTCTAAAAAGCTTGGCGTGCTCAGCAGAGCGGGACAGTATTTCATGCCGGCACACCGCGTGCAACTTTACAAGGCGCAGGTTCGGCCGCACATGGAATACTGTTCCCATCTCTGGGCTGGGGCTCCCCAATACCAGCTCCTTCCACTTGACCACATCCAGCGCAGAGCGGCTCGAATCGTCGACGACCGAGTGCTTTCCGATCGGCTCGATTCTCTGGCACTGCGAAGAGATGTTGCATCCCTTTGCATTTTCTTTCGCATATACCATGGAGAGTGCTCTGAGGAATTGTTCGGATTAATCCCAGCCGCCAAATTTCGTGAACGCACTACGCGGCAAACGTCCCGATACCATCCACACCATCTGGATGCTTGGCGGTCCACCACTGTACGTTTCAAAAGGAGTTTTCTTCCGCGTACAACCTCTCTGTGGAATAATTTACCACCAGCGATTTTTCCGGACCGATACGACCTGGGGACCTTCAAGAAAAGAGCTTACTCCTTTCTAAAGGGCCGGCAACGCGTCTGCAATTCCCCTGGTGTTGCAGTTGATCATGGGCGGCGGTAGTCACTTAACATCAGGTGAGCCACATGCTCGTTTGCCCCCTCTTCTATAAAAAAAAAAAAAAAAATTTGGAACTCATTTTATTTATTGTCACCTGTCATCGCCATCGAAGAACCGTTAGTGAAGTATCTGGCGTCAAGCAAGTGGCGGAAAGACTTTTTGAAGTAACGGTGTCAATCAAATACCGCTCTCTAGGAAACTACGATATCTTGTTACAGATAACTAAACGTAGTGATTATATTCTCTTTGCAGACAGCATTAAAGTGACGTCATTCTCTGCTTTATCACGAACGTGATGTAGTGGCACCGCAATCCCAGGAAACCAGAGCTTTGTTAAACTAATAAATTGAGTATATTAACGCATAGGCGTTAATCATGACGCACCACTATTTGACTGCTTCATCTATGTATCAGTATCTATAGAACATCTGCTTACACTTGGCATAATGGACAAAGAGCGATTCGCACACTTTATAG